AGATCAGGCGAAGGTGGGCAGCGACCAAAGGAGGCAGATTTAAAAAGGGCCACGGAACAGGCTTTATTGGGACATCACTCCCGGATGGAACTCGATCAGACCGCCAGAGTGGCAAGAGAAGGGTATGAGGAGAAACCTTGTGGAAGCTTGCTGGGCTGGACTTTTATGGGGCTTCCAGCAGGAAGGGAAGGGCTTGGGACAGGAAAAGGTGTTTTTAGGGTCCCTTGTTGCATTGGGGTTGGTCAGGGGAGTTGGCTGAACTCCAGGATTGGCCAGGGGGTCCTGCTGATTGACAGGCGTTAGTCAGGTGATCTCGCTGATTGACAGGCGATCTCCTGGCGCCTGATTGATGTCCCTTTCTGCCGCAGGCTGTTTTGTTCTGAGTCCCACCAAGTTGCCACCACCGACCTAACAGCCACCTGTAAATAAACAAACTTCAAAGAAAAGAAAAAAGAAGGGAAAGAAGAAAAGAAAGAAAATTTTAAGAAAGCATTTAGAGTTGGGCATGCTTGCTCACGCCTGTAATCCCAGCGGCTCAGGAGGCTGAGGCAGGAGGATTGCGAGTTCAAAGTCAGTCTCAGCAAAAGCGAGGGACTAAGCAACTTAGTGAGACTCTGTCTCTAAATAAAATACAAAATAGGGCTGGGGGTGTGGCTCACTTGTGGAGTGGCCCTAAATTCAATCCTTGGTACTGTCCCCCCACCAAAAAGAAAGCATTTGTTCTAGGCATCCTGGCACATGCCTGTAATCCCAACGATTTTGCTGGTTGAGGCAGGAGGATCCCAAATTCAAGGTCAGTCTCAGAAGTTAAATAAAACTCTCAGCAGGCTGGGATTGTGGCTCAGTGGCAGAGCGCTTCCCTTGCAAGTATACGGCACTGGGTTCCATCCTCCGCACCACATGAAAATAATAAATAAAATAAAGGTATTGTGTCCATCTGCAACTAAAAAATAAAAATAAAAAAAGACAGCAATGTAGCAAGACTCTGTCTCAAAACAATCAAACAAACAAATAACTGGGGATGTGGCTTAGTGGTTAAAGCACCTCTGGGTTTAATCCCAATACCAAAAGGAAAGAGAGAGAGAGAGAGAGGGAGAGAGGGAGAGAGAGAGAGAGAAAGAAGTCATGTTTGGTGGTGCACACCTGTAATCCCAACGACTCTAGAGGCTGAGGCAGGAGGATTCCAAGTTGGATACTTCAGCAAATTAGTGAGACCCTCGGCAATTTAGTGAGACTGTCTCAAAATTAAAAAAAAAAAAAAAGAAGAAGAAAGCAAAAATGAAATGAAAGTTTTACACATGAAAAGAATATTTATGGATGTACTTATCAATAATGCAAAATATGGAACTTGTTCAGATTTTGATTCAGATAAATGAACTGTAAAAGGCATTCTGGAAATTATTGGGAAAAACTGAACATGGATTAAGTATTAAATGATATTAAAGGATTAAAAACTTTTTATAAAAGTTTGATAATGATATTGTGGTTAATTTACAATAAAAAGTCTTTGTTAGCAATACATATTAAAGTATGTACCGGTGAAATGTTATGGTTTACAAGAAGTTTACTTAAAAATACTCCAGGGGAGCTGGACATGGTGATGAGCAGTTTTAGGAACAAAAGCAGCAAACTGAAAGTCCTTTTTTTTTTTTTTTGTGGTTGTAGATGGACAGCATGCCTTTATTTTATTTATTTTTATGTGGTGCTGAGAGTGGAACCCAGTGCCTCAAGCATGCTAGGCAAGCGCTCTATCACTGAGCTACAGCCCCAGGCCAGTCCTACGGTTTTTATGCAGGGAAGAGGTAGAACTAATTTTTTTTTTTTTTCCTTTGTGCTGGGCTAGGTGGCACATGCCTGTAATCCCAGATGCTAGGGAGGCTGAGGCAGGAAAATCGAAAGTTTGAGGCCCATTCAGGTAATTCAGCAAGACTGTCTCAAAATAATAAAGAGCTGGAAATGTAGCTCACTGATAAACAGTCTTTGGGTTAAATCTGCAGTATCACACACCAAATAAAAAATAAAATTTGGGCTGTGTGGAGGGGGAAATGGTAGTGTTTCAAATAGTTGAAGTTAGGTGATGGACACAAGGCAGCTTCTTATTCCTCCTCCTCCTCCTCCTCCTCCTCCTCCTCCTCCTCCTCCTCCTCCTCCTCTTTCTTCTTCTTTTTTTCTTTTGCAGTGCTGGGGATTTAACCCAGTACTTCATTTATTCTAGGTAAGCACTCCATCACTGAGCTATATCCCCAGCCCAAGAAGTTTATTATTCTATTCTAATCCTTTTGTATTTGTTTGGAATTTTCCATAAAAATATATTATGGGAAACTGAATCTCTTTCTAGTCCCCAATGTGTGAAATAATTAGATGGAAGAAGAAAACATTCTTTTTTGGAGGGGGAGTGTTAGGGATTGAACCCCGGGCTTCACCACATGCGAAGTATGTGCTCTATCCCTGGGCTATAATCCTAGCTCTTAGAAGAGAACATTCTTGCTGTAATAATTTCTTGCTGGAACAGATCAGAATTGGAGGGGCATCTTTTAAGGATAATGTGGAGGAAGAGGGCCCCTGTCAGGAAAAGAAGGTAGAAGGAAAACTGGTTTTGAGTGGTGTTGAAAAGCCAAGGAGGAGCACAGTTTCAAGATGGAAGGAGTGTCAGCTATGTCAAATATTGCAGATGACAGGAAGGGCAGGATTAAATGACTTCACTAGATATAGCAACCAAGGTCACTCTTGACTTCAGCAAGATCAGTTTCAGTGGAGGTGGGAAGATCCACGTTTCCCAAGCAGCCTGGCTGTGAAGAGATGAAGATGGTAATCTTCCCACACCTCCCACCCCAAAAGGAGAAAGGGCAAGTTTTTATATGCTGAGGGGACATGCCATTTGACAGTGGTTGACAATATAGGCAAAAAGTGGAATGACTCACAGAGTACCCTATTACAGGAGAAAGTATTGAGAAAAAATCACATGCACTGTTTTTCTGATGTTTACTGAAATTTCCAATCACTGCTCCAAAGAAATTTCTTCCACAGTAAACGAAACAGATATATATATATATTTGTCTCAGTTAAGACGGTTGAAAAGCCACGATTTTTCGTGACTGCACTTCAGACACACTAAAAGTGTTCTCTCTCTCTCTCTATATATATATATTATTATTATTATTATTATTTTTTAGTTGTAGATGGATACAGTACCTTTATTTTTTTTTTAATGTGGTGCCTCACAAGAGCTAGGCAAGTGCTCTACCACTGAGCTACAACCCCAACCCTTCAGTTGTTCTTGAGTTAAAAACCACTGAAAGAGGGCTGGGGTTGGGGATCAGTGGTAGCACACTTGCCTGGCATGTGTGAGGCATTGGTTTTGATTCTTAGCACCATATAAAAATAAATAAAATAAAGGTATTGTGTCTATCTACCATTAAAAAAATATTAAAAAACCCCAAGCAAACCACTTTTTGTCCCTAAAAAAAGAAGAAAAATTATTCACCACACACACACAAAAGTTTTTTTTTTTTTGTACCGGGGACTGATCCCAGGGGCGCTTTACTACTGAGTCACACCCCTGTCCTTTTTTTAAATTAAATTTTATTTTTTTATGTACCTGGGACTGAACCCTGGGGAGCTTAACCACTGAGTCACATCCCCAGCCGTTTTTATTTTTATTTTGAGACAGGGTCTCGCTGAGTTATTGAGAAGTTGGCCTCAAACTTGTGATCCTACTGCCTAAGCCTATCAAACTGCTGGAATCACAGGCATGCGCTACTGTGCACGGCCCTTCCCAAAGGAGTTCTACCTCTCCCTGCATATCCTTTGGTTTACTGCACTTGTTTCAAAAAACTACTCATCACTCAAACTACCAAACCTGCAAATTCTTTTTAAGTAGCTTTCCTACCATCACCAATATATAGGGTGGCTTAAATTATATTTCCAAGTCTTACTGCCTTTCCAAAAATTACTATAAACTATTAGAATCTGCAAACTCAATTATATATTGATTACGATGCTCAGGTTACCTCTGAATTCCAAGGAGTAGTCGAGGTAAGATATCTAAGGAATGGGATATTTTACACTTTAGGACAAACTTTCACACCAGCACTATTGGTTGGTGGGAGGAGCTGATGATTTGGAAGTGAGAAGAAGGGGAGTGCAGACAAGTTAGTCTTCTTAGACTTCCGGGGGTGAATACACCTGTCACCCGCGTGGCACAGAAGCTCAGAAAGCTGAGTGGGGTTGCGCTGGACAGAGGATAGGCCACCGGGGGAACTTGGCTCAATTAAAAGGTTTATACGCGCCCTCACGGGCGCGCGCACGTACGAAGTCGTGTCTTGCGCAGGGTCGGGCCTGTCAGGCGGGAAATCTCGCGAGATCAGAGACTGGGATGACTGTCGGGAGGAGGGGAGTGGTGTCGGGGAAGGGGGGGAACCTGGGCAGCGGCCGGGCTCTGTGGCTTCAGGGCTCGGAAGGAGAGAGGGAGGGTGGCAAAGAGAGTGAGTCGGTACCACTGCCTGCTTGAGGAAAGAGGAGGGGTCCCGCTCGCCCTGCGCCCTTCGCGGGCCAAGAGTGCTAAGCACCCGCGAGCCTCTCAGGCCTCCCGGCCCCTGGGGACCCCGCCCCGCCGCCCGCCGGCCGGCCCGCGGCCTCGCTTCTCTTTGTGAGCGCCCCCTTCCCAGGGGTGGTGGTGGTGGTGGTGGCAGAGGGCCACGCGTGGGCCCGCCCGCCGAGGGGCCGCGGCGGGGGACCGAGAGGGCCTCGGCTGTGTGAGGACGGGAGGCGGCCGAGGCCCGGGCCGGTTCCCCCGAGGCGGCGGCGGCGACTCCGGGCACTTCCCCGCGCCATCTTAGCTGAGCCCCAGAGCTGAGGGCGCCTCCTCGACTCTGGTCGTCCCCTCGCCGCCCCCCTCCCCGCCCCTTGTCGCAGAGCTTGGGCTGGGCAGCTCGCTGGGGCTCCGCGGGGTGGGGGGCGGCGGTCGGTCGCCAGGCCCCCTCCTCCCTCCTCGCCCTCCAGCTAGCAGCTACCTGAGCGCTGCGGGGGGCTGCGTTTGCCTACTCCGCTCCAGACCTGACGGCTAAAGGGTAAGGGCACCTCTGCTAGGGAAAGGAGACCTGGCGGGGGGCGGGGAAATTCGGCCCACTCAGGCCTCTACGGAAGAAGGGATGTGGGAGTGGGGTGGGGGAGGGAGACAAGGAGGGTCTGTGATTCTGTGGGTGGGGTGAAGAAGCTGGTTAGCTGGGCGCCCTCCTGTTATGAGGGGCAGGAGCAATTACATTCCTTTTTCCTGAGGGTCACCGGAAGGGGTGGTGGAAGGGGATGTTTCGAGGAAGGTGTGGCCCTCGTAGGGAGACAGGATTGATGTGCACCCCGATTTAAAGGCGCGAAGTGCCTTTCCCTCAGGTCTCTCTGCTCCTCCCGTTCCTCCTCCTCCTTTGTAGTGTCTATGTATTCTTGGGAAGGGAGACTGCTCTGGGTAGCCTGCTGGGTGGATTCAACCCTCAAGAAATCTATACTTCTCTTTAGGGGTAATGGAAGCGTTTCTCTCCCCCTACCCTTCCCCCTTCCTCATCGTCTAGTGTACTGCAATGCTGCAGAAGTCCGAGGCAATTTCTTCATACACAGACCCATGTATACACTGAAGGGAGGGGGGAGCAGGAGAGAGAAGTAATGGCGCTTCCCTTGGAAAGGTTACTCTTCTTCCTTTGATTTTTAAATCGATAACAGTACCGTTAATACTCTTTTCCTGAGATCTGTCCATGGAAAGTATAGCTGCTCCTGTTGTTATTGTTAGGGGGTATGGCCTTTCAAGAGGACCCCTCAAGTTAGAACAGTTGATGTGTCTCTGGATGGGCTTTTTTTTTTTTTTTGGAGCAGGTTGAGTTTTCGTTAGAATTCAAATAAAATAATTTTGTATTCTCTTATTTTTCTTCCTATAGCTTTTGCAAGTTTTGAAGAGTTATTAAAAAATTATACAGGGGTTGGGGCTGTGGCTCAGCGGTAGCGCGCTTGCTTGGCATGCGTGAGGCGCTGGGTTGGATTCCCAGCAACATATACAAATAAATAAAATAAAGGTCCATCAACAACTAAAAAAATATTTTTAAAAAACCAATTATTACATACAGACAGGCTTTCTGATAGACGTTTGTCCCTGGGCTGTGGATTTTAAAGGTTAATACTGTTTTGTGTAATATTGAAATTGGAATTTTTCTGAAAATCATTAGGTTAGAAATCTTTCTGTAGCAAATGCTCTGTTTCTTAAAGAAATGAAGATAATTGATATTAATATGCCCATTTATGATTAACTTTTGCTTTGTATCATTTTTTTTTTTTAAAAGGTCATCTCAGTTGGTTTGGTACTTGTTGGTTTTGTCTGGGTAAACATAAATAAAAACAATTTTAACATTGCCACGTGCTTTTTGTGACCAAAAAGTAGTCTTCAAGTCCTGAAGGAATCTTGATGTACTGTCAATATTTTTTCCTTTAAGTGTTTAGGTTTACTGGGGAAGTGATTTAAAAATGTTCCATATGTGAATATTAGTAGAATTAAATAATTTTCCCAAAGTGATGAAGATGACTAAAATGTAATATCACAGATATGATCTGTCTTGATATTTTACAAATAAGTTATAGTTGGTGTTTAAGTTTTACTTAGTGAATTATTTATTTAAAAAATACTTTTGTGTTTATGTTATCATTAAATGTACCCAGAACTTTCTTGGTGTGTTGCTTTTTTGAAATCTGTTTGAATACAGGGATATAAAGATGTTAGCAATAGTGCTGGGCACTAATACTTTCTATTATCTTATTTCATGATTTTGATATAGTTTTATCATTTTTTTCCCCTCACAAAATAGAATGCTCTTTGCCTTCTTTCTTCCCTTTTGATGTTCATTTCAATTGATTTAATTTAAGCAGCACTATTCATTTGAATCTGTATTTCATGATACAAAATTGCATGTTGTGATGTGTGGAGTTTTCTCCTATATGGCAAATTTCTATTTCTGTAGATTATGGTTTGTTGATAATGAATTCATGTATACTAGCATGTGTATATCCAACCATACTGCTTACTAGAGACATCCTTTATCTTAGAAAGATTGCAGGAAGAGAGGCTTTATCAATAAAAGCTATAAAATTTAAGAATATACACAGGGTGTGTATTTGCTATATTTCAGCATACAGGGACTAAGTGGTACTCTTGGGGGTAACAAAAAGAAACACTGTTTTCCATAGCTGATAGGAACTCTGCCTAAAAGTGGTAAAAGTGTCTTCAGGATCAATTAGCTAAATTTGTTATTAAGGAAAAACTGCCTGAGGGTTTTTTCAGAAGATGACCTCTGATGTCACTGTCAGAAAGAGAATACTGAGAGCTGTTAGTCTGGGTTGATTCCAGATTAGTATGGCACTTCTTATGTTTCTAAATAGTTCATGTACAAAATGGCAGTGTACATCACTTCCTGTTCTTTCACAACTGGCTCTTTCTGTGGATTCCCTTTTAATGACTTAATTTTTGGCATTCTGATCTCTGATTCGTTAATTTGGTTATAATCTCATGTCTTATACATGGAGGAATATCTTAAGAATCCACTGGTTTAGAGACTTTTACAATAACAAAACATTGCTTCTAAACTGAAGAATATTATAAAAAATAAATTGAAACTCTGAAAGGTTTTTTTGTCTGTGTGTGGCTCACACACACACCCACCCAACTGCAGGGATTGAACCCAAAGCCTTGTGGCATGCTAAACAAGCGCTGTACCATTGAGCTATATCCTCAACCCTCTGAGAGGGTTTTTTTTGGTACTGGTGATTGAACCCAGGGGCACATTACCACTGAGCTACATCCCCAGTTCTTTTTATTTTTTGTTTTGAGACAGGGTCTTGCTAAATTGCTGAAACTGGCCTCAAATTTGTGATCCTCCTTTGTCAGCTGGGATTACAGTGCATGCTACTTCACCCTGCTCTTGAGAGGTTTTAAAGAGATACAGTAGTGTGTAAGACCAAAATGTACAAGGGGTTGCTGAATAGAAAATAATTATTGTTTTTTCTATAATATAAACTTCTGGAGAACTGTGTATATGGCAATTAATTGAATATATGTTATTAAAAAATAAGATTTGTTTATCAAGACATACATGGGGGCAGCTGTTGTAACTCAGTGGTAGAGCACTTGCCTAGCATGTGTGAGGCACTGAGTTTGATCCTCAGTACCACATAAAAATAAACGAATAAAATAAAGGCATTGTGTCCATCTACAACTAAATAAAAATATGCATTGTATTTGGTCCCATTCTTTGATGCCATTCCATCAATAAGAATGAAATTGATTAGTTATTAGGATACCATAATGACAGGATACTCCCAAAGAAGTATAATTGATTTTAATAATTTGATGATTCTTAGTGAACATGAATACTTAGTAAATCCAGAAGTTACCTTTGCCAACTGTTGGCATTTCATGTAGAATTGAGATTAATTGGTTCTTCATAGTACCTGGAAATAAGTTGTTTTGCATTTGGCTGATTTGTTTATTAAAATCAGTTAATTTCTCATTTGTATCTATCTCCTTTTGATTATAAATAGTTTTTATTATAACAGCTAATTGCATTCATACAGATTTAACTTTCAAGAAATTAAGAGCTTTTTTTGGTAAGAGTTAAGGATTCAGTTTAGGATCATATGTGAGTGAATCTCTTCTTTAAAATTTTGACTATTGACTACTATTTCTATAGTCAAGTCTTGTATGCAATTGGACTATTTCATTAAACAGTGTGCCAAAATATGATCATCTGCTTTTTAGGTTTCTGAACTTCTTCATGGCTGGACTTTTTTTTTTTTTTTTTTTAATATTCTTTAAGGTTTCCTGTTATAAAATGAAAGTGAGAAGATATAACCAGTATTTTGTTCCTTTATATTCCATTGTTGGGTTAAAGTAGTTGAATTTTTAGTGATTAAAATTTGACTTTTTCAGGGGTAGGAGGGTACCAGGGGTTGAATCAGGGGCACTTGGCCATTGAGCCACATCCCCAGCCCTATTTTGTATTTTATTTAGAGACAGGGTCTCACTGAGTTGCTTAGCACCTCGCTGTTGCTGAGGCTGGCTTTGAACTTGTGATCCTCCTGTCTCAGCCTCCTAAGTCACTGGGATTACAGGCCTGCATCACCACACCTAGCTAAAATTTGATTTTTAATTTCATTAAAAATGTTTTATATCTTCTAAAATATCACATGAATTAAAACCTTCGGAAGGGCTAGAAACGGCTATTTTCAATTGAGGTGTTTTTGTCATCATTTGATAACAGTTATTTCTATTTCTATATTCCTTCAATTTGTGCTAGAAGCAGATTTTTTGTTCTGAAATATAGTCTAAGGCTGTGTCTTCTTACATGGTGACACACGTGGTTCATAAAAGATAGGGGTTTAAAAGTTTCTCAAAGTACCTTGCAGGGCACAGTGGCATATGTCTATAATTCCAGCTATTCTGGAGGCTGAGGCAGGAGAGCAAGTGTGAGGCTAGCCTAGGCAATGTCTCAAAATAAGATAAAATGGGCTTGAGATGTAGCTTTGTGATAGAGTGCCCCTAGGTTTAACCCCCAGTAAGGGGTGTGGGTGGGATGGGAGTGGGGTGGGAGTGACAGGTTGTGGGAGAAGAATTTGGCCTATAAAGTAAGTAAAGGTACAGGTTACTGAGTATTTTGCATAATACCACAGCCTAGTAAAAATGCTCTTGAGCTAAGTTGAAGAATCACTTGATGCCAAGAGTTTGACATACCAGCCTGGGCACCGCATCAAGACCCCATCTCAAAAAAAAAAAAAAAGCCAATGTCAGTTGTGTCCTAGAGTTTTTTAAAAATATTTTTTTAGTTGTAGATGGTCACAACTTATTTTGTTTATCTTTATGTGGTGCTGGTGATCAAACCCAGTGCCTCACACATGCTAGGCAAGCACTCTACCACTGAGCCACAACCCGGCCTCTGTCCTAAGTTGCTATTTATTTATTTTTGCAGTGCTGGGGATTGAACTCCAGGGCCTTATGCATGTTAAACAAGCACTCTACTACTGATCTATAAGTTATTATTTA